CTTTGAGAAACATACACAACGCAGACAGACACCGGTCACACAAAAGTATCAGATAGGCTTCAATTTTCTTTTGATTGTCTATAATTAACTATAAAAAAAATATCGGCGTTTTAACACTAAGTTTATATATGTACTTATTTTTACGGTTTGCATATGAGGTGGTCTGCAAAAATCCTTGATAATAAATAGTGGTCCGCATAAACAAAAAGTTGGAGAACCCCTGTTCTAGACTGTCTGTACTTTCAACAAACATACTATTTTGTGTAAGGGCTACAAGCCAACAAAGACAGAACTGTAATTGGACATTGATCTGTCGAGGTCCGAGGATAAACAACTCATCCTTAGAGCAGCCATGAAGAGAGCGCCGAGCGTGTAAACACACCAACCTTACTGAGATGTTAGAGAAAATGGCCGAATTGAAAACTGTGCTCAAATTGTATCCATTTTGCTTTAATTCCTTGGGGTTCATTTGTCATTTTCAAAAGACAGCTTATTTTTAAAAAAAACTGTTATCTTGCTTTTGATTACATCCTTCACAAAAAAAACCTCCCTGAACACAAAATGGAGCAAACATCATCTCTACAAGCCTGGTTAAACACAGGCTAGATCAATGGGGAGATTTATCAGCAAATATTACCATTCGATGCCTGGCAAGTAATCATTAAGGAATGGCACTGATGCATTATTCATTGGCTAATGTATAATTCAGACTTAACAGCAGATTCTATGCATACATAAAGCTGTGATACATTTAAACACATTAAATGTTTACTTGCTAAAATAGGATGTGAATGGGCAGCATGAATGCTTCCCTGCTGCTGTCACTCGATTTTCTGCTGCCATTGCTGAGGATGTAAGGTGGATACTGGAGTATAGATTCTGACAGCCCACTCATCATAACACATACACTTAAATGACACAGGCTACTGATATCCATGGTGGGGAAGGGGGAACAATCTGTTGTAGTATAGGTGATTGCAAAAATCCCATAGAGCGTCTTTTCTCTTTGTTCGGCTAAGTCAATTACATTTATGATAGATCAGTAAAAACCACCCATTACAGTCCTTGCAGTATACCCAATTTTCTTTTCTGGCACATGAAACTTTATGTACTGTCGTTTTATCTGCCTCTGACATTTGCTTGCGTGTTAAAACATTACAGAAGGATTGTGAGGATATTCTTGTTGAGGTGTCAGAGCTGGTGTCAGAGGGACAGTCAACAGGGAGGAAGAGGAGGCAGTGAGGAAGCACAGGCTCCATCTGACGGTGTTCAGAGCGGGCAGCCCTGTGGGGACCGCCATTCCACTTTATGACCATGCACTGAATTAACGAGGCCAGATGTCCCCCCACTTAACATGTGTGAAAGTGCCCTCCGATGGGCTCAGCTGCTTTAAGGATGTACAGACAGAGGGGGGGGGGGGAGAGACCGGGCCTATTTTCAATTATCCCAATTTCTCACTCATCGTTGGCTCCTGAGGTTTATGTTAATTAAAGATATCAGCTCTTCTGCTGCGCACAAAACAAATGAGATGGAATTTTCTATGAACAATCAAAGCACCTCTCCGGACCTTCATCACTCTCTATTTCAGTAGGCACCCACCAGAGGGTACTGCCTCCTTAGCAGTGCTACCATTGTTCCATGTGTACTATGTCAATCAGAGGCTAACATATTCTAAATGTGTCACCGCTGAACCACTGTCTGGAAGGACAATAGGTCAGGAAGTGGGGAGATGGCTCGTTCCATATAGAAATTACACTCGTATGAAGAATCAACAAGACCCGAAGAGATTATTCATTGTTCGTCAAAACCATGAGTCTGCTTCTATGTTGGGGGATGGAAATAATACCAACAATGGTAAGGGAGGCCATGACTTCTCATTGATTTTCCGCCGAGCTTTGTGACAAGGCGGCTCTTGCATTTCTGTATTGTTGGTGTCAGACGGGCCTCCCACTTTTGACCCCAACAATACAGTAACTGTGAGCCGTATCTTTTATGTGACGGAGATGTATGCAGTACGGCCACACCTCCATAACCAAATAGCTAGTGTTGTAATGTACCTGTATTTATTTGATACGCCTCTAATAAACAGTTTGTGGGAAAAGTGTCAAACATCACATCTGTTTTAATTTATGTTGCTTATTATAATAAGAGAGATGGAGTTGTGTCTTTGTAATCACAATGGCCTACAGTGGAGATATTCAGACATTTACCCCAATGGAAAGCTATCAAGACCCAATCAGACTTACTCATTAGAAAGACAATTAGAGCCAACATTGCATCAATTACAATTTCTGTGATTCTGTATGCATTACATCACGCCATTAAAACAACAACACACAGACAACCTGAAGGTTTGTCTACTAGCTGCCATCATCCTGACACAGGGAGGAAAAAAGGGGGCAGGCACGCCGCATGGTGCAATCCCAGTGAGGGCCATCATGAGAGCAGATTAAATAACGTTTTTCCAATGCCCTGTCAAACATTCAGCCGCCTCTGAGGAGCTAGACAGCCGTTACAGCCTCACTCTATGAAGCATCTCTCTCTCTGTATGGTCGGAAACAGCCTCTTTGATCCGGATATCGCCCCTCAGACTCCTCAGAGGTGACACTCATACACGCGCCTGTATGTGAGCTGAATGTTTACTAGATTCTCTGTACCTTGTCAGCAGTAAGACTTGTGTTTATGAAGGGGGGTGACTCATAGTGCCACTATGATTCCCTTTGGTTTACATGAATCAACAACGCAGACTGCAGATTCAGACAAAGATCAAATTGCACATCAGATTTAATTTCCATCAAATACCAGTATGAAACAGTGCAAATAGAAAGGATGTAAAATGATAGCGACAGTTGTATGGTAGTGTGTAGATAATTAAGATTAAGACTGCTTTATTCTTATCTGATAGGAGTCTTACTGTGAAACCCTCAGTGCTCTCTTCCCATACAACAGCAGAACAACTCAGGCTTTTGTGTACAACTCCATTAAGAGGTCGGACCACTTCCTCTTTCATACACTCCAGAAGTAGAGAAACTGAATAGCTATCCTAACCTCTGGGGGAGTGTAGAAAATAACATTTCTAAATGTGTTCAGATGCAAGTTTTCCCACATGATAGTAAATGTTATCAACATAACTAAATTGATTTGTATCTGACTACTGGTTACCATCTCAGACAGAGGCCTACCCCTCAAGTCAGTGACCACCAAAACATTAATAAACCAGAAAAAGTCTCCTATAGCCTACGACTTGAATGCAGGGGAAAAACGTATTGTTCATTTCATCATATTGTCATCCAAGAATGGCTGCCCGAAAAAAAATTAATCACCTTGAAAAAAACATGTATGAAAAAAAAAAAAACTTAATTTGGCAAGATTCTTCCCCTTTAAGATACGAAAGCACACGTCGGCACTTCAGCATTGTGAGTTACTGGAACACTAAGGAGAACAACCATCATTAACTTTTGAACTATAATTGCAACACATGCCTTATATTATTTATGTCTCATATTCACATTCACATGACTTTTAAAACCGAATGAGCCTTAAATGTTAGTAAATGTCCTTTATGTGTCCAGCAATGATACATTATCTGCAGTGCTGGGGCCATACATTAGCTCATGCAGTGACGTCCCACTCAAGTGGATTAATCACGTCTAAATCATTAAGCTAGAGGTCACTTCGCAGCTAGCATGGGGACACATAAAATGCAACAGGAAGTTGAGCATGGTGTAGATTAGCTCCCCACAATTAGCAATGCAACATCTGAGTCCATGTAATAGCTCAGTGAAAAATGCAGCAGCAGGGGGAGGATTTCAGGAAGGAATTGTTTTTATATGGCGGAGATTGAAGCAATCAATGCCCCCCCCCCCCCATCCTGGATTTGTATCTTGTTTCAGGGCTGAAGCTTTCTTTGTGCTTATGTGGCCACATAGCCTGTGTGGATTTCAGCTTCTACCGGAGTCACATGAAGACTTACTATGACCAATTTTACAGTGATTTAAGTAAACAAGCCCTCCTCCCCCTTCTACTATAACCGGAAAACATAAAATAAGCCGCCTTTCAGACAAATAACTGTAGTCTGCCTTCAAATCCTAATCTCCCCCCTCCTAAACACACCAGCCCCCCTTGCTCTTTTCAACAACAGGCCCAGATCTCCCCCTTCACCCCCCCACACACACACACACACACACACAGTGAGAGCTGCATGTGCTTGGGCCAGAGTTCATAGCCTCTGGGGGGCTGAAGGGGGGAAGTCAAGTTAATTTGGTGGTCCTTCAACAGTTTGCTGGTTCAGTTGGACTTTTTTGCACAACGTCCCCTTCCCTTCTTTCAAAAGCACTCAACTTCTTTCCATTAGTACTGTCCGATAATCAATTTATGACACCAGCAAGGCTGTAAATCCAACAGCCAATTATTTTTATGTGAAACTTGGGGAAATCCCACCCATCAAAAATGGATGTGCCACTGACTCATCAAGATCCATTTCAGCAGTTTTCCCTGTCAAAGTGCAACTTTTCTTTCCTCAAAGTTGACTTTGAATACAAACACCTACGTAGTCTTTGTGTGTGTATATTTCCTGGCCAGCAATGTTTTCTTTCAAGCTCTGGTTTGTTTACCTCATTATTCAGCTTTTTTTTTTAAACAATTCGCTGCAGAAGCCCTGTTGCAGGCTGGCCAGGTCATGGAGGTTGCCTGAGGGTCTGCTTCACAGTCCAGAGAGAGCCAAGTTTTACAACAATGCAGCCAACTTTCAGCTCGCCGGAGCACTCAGAAACATTTGACTCGAGGTCACACATGCTTCCTACTCCTGGTATAAACAAAATTAATTCAATTTTTGCTCAAAGTCTAAGTACTCCACGGTTTTTTTTCATCACAATATCCCAAAATTCCGTAAAGTTATCACCCACACATTGCTCTCCCTGTCTGCGCCCCCCACCCCCTCCTCCTCCTCCGCCCTCCAACCACAACCGTCCTGCAATCTTTTTTTGTATTCAACTACTCACCCGCCAGTCTGGTGATTCTTGGAGTCCCAGAGACTGCTTCCAAAAGAGTTCAAAATGCGATCCTAGCTCAAGATGACCCACCGAACTTAAGCCAGCTGGGCCACATCCAAGAACCGGGACCAAACGAGGCGAACAAGGACACTTTTTTTTGTATCCTCCAGGTTTTTCTCCTTTTAAACCCGCTGCCCACACGGAGGGGCTCGGGCGAGCACTTGCTTCAACAAAAGACGGTTTCACTTTACTGAATTACTGTTCGCGTCCGAAATGGCCGTGTAAAGGCACTGTTCCTGGTTCATGTCTCGGTTCTGCTGCTATTCCCTTTGGCCGTGTTGTTGTTGCTGTCGATGATAGTGTCCACATGAAAAGTAACACAGCGCTGTGAGTTGTTTCGAGGGGTAGGAAACCAGCGCCGTTTACAGGCTCCGCTTCCTTTTTCCACACACACGCGCTCTCTCTCTCCCCCCCTCTTCTCTCTCTCTCTTTCCTATGCACACACACTCTCCACGCTCTCCCTATCGCTCCCTCAGTCTCTGTTAAACCCCCCTCTTCCTCCCCTCCTCCTCCTCTTCAGCTGTTCAACAGACGCATCCACATGGCTGACCTAGTCTTTCTTTATCCAGACACTAGTGAAGGAGAATTATCCCGACCACACTCAAAAAAAAAACGAGCGAAACAAAAACATGGACTGGATTCAAATGATCGTCAGGGACAAAAGGGTGGTTTTGGTTGGGGGGGGCGCGCCAATGGGGCTGTTGATTGATGGCAGCCCCGTAGGGAAACGCTTGTGTGTGTGTGTGTGTGTGTGTGTGTGTGTGTGTGTGTGTGTGTGTGTGTGTGTGTGTGTGTGTGTGTGTGTGTGTGTGTGTGTTTGCAAATGCACCAGAAAGCGAGATGCACGGCAGCCAAAGTGGCCCGACCGATCAATGGTAACGCTTATGGGAATGTGACTAAAACACTAAGGGAGACAATGAAAAGCCGTGAAAGCTAGTAGTACTAGTGCCTTGTTAATAATGGCTTTATAACACACTACAAGTTTTCTCTCTTTGCACAGTGCCACAAAGCAATAACACGTTTTAATGAACGATAAATGAAAACATGAAATGATGATCTTAAATACAGGTCGCTGATTTATATCTGAAAACATAGCCACACGCATCTGCCGGAAAATACACGAGAGGGAAGAGACTGAAAGCAGCTCAGGCTTCTGGAGCTCATTTGCATTTTTGGATAATGAATTAATTAGTCACCCCACCCATTAAAAAGGCAGAAACAAGCAGGGATGATAATGTGAATAGTCCATTAGCAATATTTGGGAGGCAGATTTTAATGGCTAGCAATGCACATCACATCAAATGTGATCCTGGTAATTTTCCAAGGACTCAGTATTCATTTAGTGTTGATTTGAGCTAGAAAATATACATTACGATGTGTTTTCTTTTTAACTGGAATCTGTCAATCACAATAACACAGGAGAAGCGTGAAAACAAAGATGGAATGCATTGAGTAGTAAATTAATAGGATGATTTCCATGTTCCCGAGCAAGTAGCTTGACGAGCTTGACACATTTTCATTGTCTTAAACATGATATTGGATCACTGTCAAAAATCCAATTAACTAAAGCAAATAGTTGGAGCACTGGGTTCTTTTTGCACTAAAGCCAAACGCTGGCAGCAGGAGCGGCAGGCAGTAGGGATCAATAGCAATTGAGTTGAGGGTGGTGTGCAGGGGGTCTTTCATTGTGCTACAATCCATGTTGGTCGTCTTTGCTTTGAGAGTGGGGGTGTGCAACAAAGTGCTGCTAAAACCTTATCCAGCTCCTGAGGCGACTGTCCTGAGCAGTCCATCTCCCCTCCATATAGTAACCTAATACCACAGGAACCTCAGCTCCTCCCTTATCACAGTATGTATACATTTCACAAGGTCAATGTTTATGATATGTAAACACAGTCTGCCTCCTTTACTGAGCAACACAAACATCTAGAGGATCCTGCATTGATAAGAAGCATGTCCCTCCTTTTCCGGCTATATTTCAAGCTTAAAACATTATTCTATTAGGTGTAACGCAAGGAGTAACCAGGCAACATTTTCAGGAGGTTTCTGGGACTTAAGTTGGGCCAAGACAGCAGTGAAGGGTGAGTGCAGTAAATCCTCTCTGAAGGCAGAGCAGAGCAAAACTGGATTGGCTGGCGGGGCAGGCTCCCCTCCCTGGCAGATGAGATCCCATTATCAGGCAGACGAGAACTCCACCTCCAGGATTTCACAGCTCCTCTGTTTATCACATGGCTCTGTCAAGTTGGGCACCATTAACCGATAATGAAAGGAGACAACCAGTGCAGTTACAAGCAAAGCACTCCACATTCTACAGGCCTAAGCATGTATCTGGGAAGCTGACTGTGTCTATTCAATTCTGTTCAGCATTCAAACAACCCATCACAATACCTTTTCCCTGAGCACCCCTCCTACAGCTACAGTGCCTTCAATCCCAGCAGAACAAAAAACTAGTTTACTTGGTGCCTCTTTTTAATTCAGAGGAAATTACTGAAACAGAACTGTAGGCTGCCTCGGGGAATATAAATTACACTTTTCCAAAACAGTCTTTGTCTATAAGATTATTAAAATAAAATTGGTTGTAAAAAGTTAACCAAAACCGGTATGAGGGAGAGACACAATAAAGCAACATAAACTATCATTTGGAAATATGTTTTCCTCATCCACATCAAACATTATTAGTACAAGTGTGACTAAACAAAAAGACTGCAAGACAGCCACTGAATCAAAGGCCAACATGAACCCCCCCTCTCCCCCGTCTGACTACTCCTTTTACGGTTTATAGGATTCTGTAGCCACTTACGCTCATTAAAAATGAATACTTAACAAAAGCTGTGGCTGACACACACTGTTTGCTTTAGCCTGATTTCTCCACAGTGTAGAAAAACAAGCCACTCACAGGCTACAAGCAGAAAGCAAGCGAGAAAGAGACATAGGGAAAGTGCTTGGCGATACAAGTAAGTCAGCCAGTAGCTGAAACAACAGAAAAAAAGCGACATGGATGACTTAGCCAAGGCTGTGAGAGACTTGGCAAGCTTCAGAGGCACTGGCCTCTTAAGCACTCATATCTAGTAACTTCATTTAATACATTCACCAGGGATGAGCAGACAAGTTGAAGGAAAAAAGGGATTGAGAGAAGAAAACAGACTTGTAAACCAAATAGGAGGGGTAGGTTGTGGCGGAGGTGGGGGTGTACTTCAGAGTCTCGATTTTTAACACGACTAAATCTCTACAGTATAACAATCTAACTTCCCCGCTGCCAAAACATAATACAAGGAGGAAAGAAAACTTGATTGGACCCTGAGACAATTTTACAATTTTCAGGCAGGTATTATCTACAGAAGCTGTTCTTCTCATATTAAAATGTGAACTGTGCTTTTCCAGATGGGGCTTTAAAGCTGCGACTCTCTCTTCCCCACACGTACTAAATCCATAAAGAACAAAGACTCAGTGTGACTGCTGCTTCAAGTTACTGTTCCTCATACTGCAGCAAGTGCTGATAGGCCTCCCCTTCACTGCTGGGAGGCAAGCAAAAAAAGGCTGACTTCAAATCATTCATTGCTCCTTTTAGCCTTCAAGGATTCTTAAGAGAGCACTTTACAAGTTTGGGGAATCCAAAAGGGAAAATAAGGTCCTACACGACTAATTAAAACACAGACTTTGCCTGGAGGGGGCTGAGAAGGGGAAGCAATAAAACAATCCTCTCCAATCTCCCAACAAAGTAACTCAAGGAATTATATGACTAAATATAGTTAACTACATGCTTGTGGATATTAACATTCAACTACTATTGCTTTAGCTAAAAATAATAGCTCTCTACAGTCAAATTTCATTCCAAAAATGAAAATGGGACCGTCAAGAATAGTGATTACACAGCTCTCTAAACAAGCAAACAACCCTATTATGGTGACAAAACAATCACTGAAAATCCAGATGTCCTCTGGAGACCATCCAAGCACACAGCTAGTAATTAACCTGTTACCTAGCCAGCCTTTTAAATGCGATCATTAACACAGTTGTAAAAATGTGAAAGAAGCCGAGGAATGTTATTTAGCTTCAGGCAATCTGAGCAAGGTCTAGCCTCACGTAGCTATCTTGTTTACTTAGCTATTCACAGTCACATTTGGCAGCCTAGCACAACTCTGAAAACCAAGACACTTGTAGGTTACATATGTCTAATGTGTTTTGCCAAGCTACACGCAGCAGCCATTTGGTAAAAACTATTGCATATGAAATAATATGAATGTAAGTAAACCTGATTCCAGATGAAGGTAACTGCCACCTGGCAGACAAAGAATAACAGCATTTTTTACTTACAGAAAAATACAGAAAAACCTGATTAATCATCAGAAGACTTTGATAATGGGAAAGAAAACAAACTGCATTTAATTTGGGCTCACATTGTTTCCATTAGATCTCAGCTTGCTGAAATGAAGAATGAAGCCACGGTAGTAGATGGATAGCGTGTGAAATGCTAATGAACCAGAATAAACAACTCTGTATGGCAATAAACTAGCACACATAAAAAGTGAAAACAATCACAAACAAAAGCCCACGTGTAATAACTTAGATTCTATTTCCACAAGCCCCTGATTTTCCACATTCTTCAAGCTCTCACATGGACTTTCTATGTCTGTGTCATTCTCCAGGCTAAACAGGGCCTCATTCATCTGAATAAAAGAGCAGTTCAGCCGAGAACAGACACTGAGGAATGAGACTGTATTTCCAAGAAGGCCACAGAGAGACAGAGTGCAGGCTGTGGCGGAAAGAGGAAGTTTACATTTCAGGCAAATCCTTTTGTGAACAAAGACGCAGCAAGATAAACAAACAGTCCATGTGTCTGATGCTTAACTCTGGAAGCAGTTAGTAAAATCCTATTCCAGCAGGGTGAAGCTGCGTTGGAAAGTCATCAGCAGGCAGCATGGCGAACGGGGGGGGGTTCGTGATTATGAAAGCAAAAGAGAGAGTGGCGGTTGGGGTGTGTGATTCCTGTGTGGTTACTGTCTCCAAGCTAATCTGCTCAAATAGCCAGTGACTGCTCCATTTCACACAGAGCACATGGCTGTCTCACCTCCATACACTGCCACCCTATGGAGAGTGTGTGGAGGTGCAGCCGTGTGCTTTTACTGTGCTAAAGGGGAGGTGGAGCAGTCAGAGGCTCATAATGTGCAAAACAAAAACTCCCAACACTATAATTCATGACAAGCATATTAAAATGCTCAATATGATGCAACGGGCCACAAAGCTGTATTTCCCCCCCCCCCCCCCCAC